TTTTTTTTTTTTTTTTTTTTTAATTTTCTGGTGGGGGGTATTTGGAAAATCAAGGCATTGATGTACAGGAAAAATATACCTTTTTTTAGGTTATTTATTAGTGGTTTTCATTTCCTTTTAATTATTTTTTTCTGAAAAATATTCTGGGAAGAAATTATTTTGCCTTTGAAGGTGTATCCTGGCTTCTAAAATTTATGGGCTTTCATTAAGTTCCATGAATCTGTATCTTTTGGAAAGATTTGCCTATGCTGGCGATGATTATCTTTTCTGATAGATATGTTCAGGGTTAAAAATGAGGACTTTTTTAATTCTTGAAAAAGAATATATCTGCTCTTTATTGAAAGCTTCATACATTTTTGTTCTAATGTATGATTTATGGGTTTGGAGTGATCGTTGAAAAGGGAAAAAAAAATCAAATTGTCACGATCAGGTGAATAGAATGTGTGAATCTGAGAAAAGAATAAGTGAAAAGAGCTAATTTGGGCAACCACTCAACTATGGATTTCTTCAAACTGAAGAAGTTTAGGAATGACCATAAACCAAATCAGGAAGTTGTTACTGAGCCAGAGCTGCATCAGGAAGAGCCCAAAAAAGACAGTGGTGATGTATGGGGTAAATCGGTCAATGCTGATTCTACCAATACTGAAATAGAAGATGATGATGAATTGATGACGATGATTTCATCCCAAACGAGATAAAGAGGAGGCTGAAAGAGCTGCAGCGAAACAGTTTTATGGTGTTAATACCTGAGGAAACGGTTCCAGAGGATGAGGATGTAGAAGAGGACGAAAAGGGAGAGACCAACTCTTGTGAGTGGAGGGACATCGATGCAGAAGGCCGACAGTTCTGGGCTGGGTTTGATGCTGTGTATGCCAGATACTGTGAGAGGATGCTGTTTTTTGATCGCTTGAGTGCTCAGCAGCTGGGAAAAGTTGGTAATTACTTTTATTACTCCGAATAAGCTTGCTTCCTGAGTAATATATTTCGAGGATCTATTTCTGTATATTTATCAATGTTGGAGATCTATTAGCTTTATAGTTGGTATTTATGCTGCAGATTAAAGCTGATTGCCGACCTATTTGATATCATGCATCTAATCAGCCTTATGCTTGTTTAAATACTGTTGTCAAAATTGTACTAGATCACTTTGCTAGTTAGCGTGTTAAACATTTTAAATGAGCTTTTGACATTCACCGGACCACTAGGCCTAGTGGTTGGTGCTTGTGGCATTTTCTTTTTCGACTTGGACGAGATCTTGACAGATTAAATGTTTGTTCTCTTGAAATGATTGACAATAATGAGCCAAACTATATTCTACTGCCTCATTTCCGACCTTTGGTTGTTCATTATAAAATGGTACTGTGACACTTGTTGCTCTGAAATAAATATCAAACTTCTATTTACTCCAGCTCTTGTAACTTCTTCCTTTTTTAGTGTTTTGACTTGTGTGGTTGAGGCTGATTCCACAATCTCTCCATGTCGTGTCTCAATCTCACGATAGCATTTAAATAATATTCTTGTCTGGAAATAGATCAATCCCTTCTTGGAAGTAACCTCAGAAACAAGGGCGATTTGACCATTTGGGACTTGATTCCAAATCCTTTCTGGATCATTATTTGTTCCATCCTCGTAAATTGAGCCTGATAGTAAAGTGCTTACATTCTTGCTTATTCTCCATTTTACATATCTATTAAATCCTGAGGGTCTCAAAACTTGGTTTGAGTTGAAGCCATTTTGCCGTGCCAGCCATATGACATGGGATAATCCCAATATGATCCTCAGGGAGAAAATGTGAATGTTTAAAAGATCCTTCTTTCTGGAAAATGACACTTGGATCCTGCTATGTCTAACAAATGGATTTTCCAAGTGGCCTGATTCCGGAATTTCTTCACTTGTACTCCAGGTGTTCTTTTCCCATTANGAATTTCTTCACTTGTACTCCAGGTGTTCTTTTCCCATTAGTTAATTTTCCTTCTTAGAAGTGCACTTTCAGCTGTGATTATTTTGCTAGGCTCTCTCAAATTTGAAATACCACCCCCCTCCCCTTGGCCTCAGCTATTCTGCAGCAGGTAATTGAGGACGGTTTCCTCCTATCTGAGGTAAGTTTGTCATTTTACAATTACATGAACTTGAGGAGCTATGAAACACACACACCATTTTGCCATGCCTGACATGCATGTGTCGTGTCAAATACTTCGGACATTGAACTATATGTATTTTCTTTCTTTAGCAGTACTTTTATGATCTAACTCATTTATTAAAATACAACTACTAGTTACTCTTCTGATTTAAAAGATTTCACCAACGAAAATAAAATCAGAAACTTGTATTGATTTTATTTAAAAAAGTATAAGAATATACTATATAAATTTACAAGTTTAAAATATTTGAAGGAACGTGTCCCAGGCGTGTTTGTGTTCTAAGTTTTTGAAAGATCACGTGTTGACGTGTTTGTATCATGTCGTGTTAGAGTCGCATCATTAGCTTGGAAGGCTAGAGGTTATAGGCATTTTGAACGTCTCCAATTCAAATACGAACATGAAACCACTCACTAGAACTAAATAAATGAAATCTTTCCTATTTTGATATCAGTTGTTCTTGATGTGTACATTTAAGAAATGATACCTTTTATATGTAGATTGCTCAAGTCTTTGGATGCTTGAAATAGATTTTCTGCAATTATTGTAGTTGAATGTTCTCATTCATCTTCTCTCTTCAATATTTCCTTACCGTGAAATTGATTGACTTGAAATTTTTTCATCTTGCTCATGCTTATAAACATGCGATTTGGCTAAAAAAGATGAAATGAAAAGCCTAGCCTCTCGGGGATAATTGAAATCAATACTATGGGTGATAGTTGTACTGTTATTAGCTCATAAGGCAAAATGTGGCCTATGATACATTGTTGGAAAGCTCCCAGAATTAGGTTGCAAGACATTACTATCATGTAAATTATCTATGCATTGGTAACATGAGACAAAATAAGGCCCACTACATAGTCATAGTATTTCTGTTTACAGAAATCATCTACATATTGGTAGGAGTTTGAGCCCAAATCAATGCTCGGCAGAGGAACAAATTGTCCTACTGTTAATGGGTAATCTTTATGCATCACATAGGCTGATATATATGGTTAACAAGTATCGTGTTTTAGTTCTTTTCTCAATTTCTTGTAACTTAAATTTGTTAAGCGGGTTGCTGAATTTATTTATCTTTTTATTATGTACATTCTAGTTAAAAATGTTTCAGGCTCTCATACTGTATCAACTCCATCACCAAGATTGGCATCCAAAAAGCTTGCATATCCACTTTTGCCTTTCGCTCAAAAAATCTGAAGAACCGGAAGAGGAAACTGAACAATTGCAGCAGCCCGAAAGTGACCCATATCAGGATCTTGAAACAGCATATGTAGCACAAGTGTGCTTGACTTAGGAGGCACTGCACTGCCAATATACACAGCTGAGCCATACAATATCTTCCCAACCTGGAAGTTCAACCTGTTACAACGCTAGTGCTCAACAGTTTCAGCAGTTCCTGGTTTTGTTGCAGAGGTTTATTGAAAATGAACCTTTTGAGCTTGGTTCAAGGCCGGAAATCTACACCCGAACAAGAAATTCTTTACCTAAACTCCTACAAGTTCCAAAGATCCAAGGTGATGTATATTCTGTAAAATTTTTGAGTTGTATAAATTTTCCCTTGCTGCCTTTAATCCTGTTTACCTTATTTGTCATATGGTACGCTTAATCGAATCATTCTTCTATTGTTAATCTGTATATTCTTAGTGCTGCTTAAAACTAGACTGTGTTTTTGGTTTTCCTGAGCAGTCTTACTTGTGAGTTTAGGTTCTGATGAGAAAAGGAAAGAGGAAGGGGGTCGGATTTTGTGGTACTTGTAATGTCCAGCCTTATTTTTCA